CATCGCCTTTTGAAAAATACGACATGAAGCGTAATATTGATAGATGAAACTTTTATCACACGTAATTTTAGCTAAAAATCTTGATCCAAAATCTGATGATATTAAAACGCAAATTTTCACCATTCAAGATTTCGTACTTCAAGTTGGCATTGACAACTTTAATATTTTTAAACTTTTAAAATTTTCTAAAGACAGCCGAATAGGACAAAAGGTATTTAAAAAATATCAATTTTTTGAATTGCCCACAAAATCTGTACTGTCTTTTTTTTAAGATTCATAGTTATACTAAAAAAAATCCACAAGTTTTTGAGAAAAAAGAGGTAGAAAAAAAGGGGTTGAAACAATTTTTATCCAATATAGAAAAGAGTAAAAACAAGCCGGAAGAAAAAAATAATGATAATGATGACAATAGTAAGCCAAAATTAAATTTCGGAAATCCGTTTTTTGTTTTCGTACAATTTTTGGAAAGTCTCACTTATTCTTACGAAGATGGACGCATTATTATGTATCAAAACAAGGAAAAGAAACAATGTAAATTTAGCTTTTTATTGCTAAACCCAGCGGCCCAGTTCAAGGATATAATTTCAGAAGCCCGAGCTGTAACGTTATTTTTTTTGTAATTATTTTCCGTAAAATTGGAGTAAAATCAAAAATTTTAGGTTGTCGTGGCAGGTGGCACCATGAAGCCACTGTCAGAATTTAGGGATAGACTCTTTATCAGTGCCGGTGCTTCCCCTGATAGAATTGTTCATTTCACTTGCGATCACGTTATACCGAAAGAAAATATTTTACCCCTTATTGTAACGAAGGGCCTTAATAATGAAAATTTGCTGTTTAACTTCGAAAATAGGATGCATATGGTAAGCAGTCAACATTCAGTTTTAATTAAGTAATTTTTTATGGTATTTTTCAATTTTATTTTTCATCTGAGTAATATATATATGAATGAGACACTTTGCACCCTACTACCCTCTTGAAGCAGTTGTTGATCGGCTAATTATACTGCGATAATTAAATATAATATACACGTTTGATTTATTAAGTACATTTTTGATTTACATTATATGTAATTGAGTGACATGGAACTCGATAAACACTTAAAGCCTTAAGGATGTTTGGGAGGTATAATCGGGCACAAAAGTACATAAAATTAGAAATTCGTGATTAATTAGGTTTTGCAGCATATCATGAGCTAAATAAATACTATCTATACTAAAAAAAGTATACGGTTTAAGAAAAAAATTGGAATTTGACAAAAAACTTTGAATGAAATAAGAAATAACGAATAATATGGAAAATTTTTAACTGACTTTTGGCAGTGAATATGCCTTGATTTCAACTTCGAAACAAAAAAATATTTAGTTTCAATGTCTATTAATAATGAGCGTCAATTTCAGACAATTATAAATATTATCATATTATCAAGTAAAAACGAGATTTTCAGCTAATTTTTCATTTTTTACTCGATAACCATTTAGTGAATTTGAATAACCTTACGCTAAAGTG